AATGTTCACTTTGTCTGGTTTTGTTGCAGTATGCCCCAATTGAGACTAGTCTAGACCGGTCTATAGTAAGAATACCAAAAAATCTGCAATAACATATGTTAAGAGATATTTAATTTTAATTTTACAAAATACGATCTCTTAAAAATTTTGAAACATCTCAGAATATATTATCTATTTAGATAAAATCGATTAAGATATTCAATAGTAAAATTTCATCCTTGTAAAATACCCAAAGTACGTTTTTCATGATCTAGATTCTGAATTTCTATTAGTTGAATATGGACCAGTTCCAAGTCTGGTCCTGAACCAGACCATTTTAATGGATTGGTTCATGAACCATGGTCTGGTCTATGGTCTATTACTTGTATCTGGTCTTTTAGACCAAGACTGGACTGGACCAGACCGTAATATCCCTATGCTTGGACATTCTTGGACTTGGACGTTAAACATGCCAAAAAATGCCTTGGACATAGTAATGTGACAACACTGCGGTTTGGTTACCAACCAATCATCATCGTCCATAAAATACAGCATAATATCTAGTTTGTAATGTTTTGAAAAATAAAACGAAAAGTTTATGTGGCTTTCACGTTTTTCATGTACCAATTAAAAAACTTTTTTAACAATTGAAAATTCACAAAGTAACGAACGAAAATAATAAAATTGAGCTTTTATTCTGTAATTTATAAAATCAAATTACTTATATTCGTTAATTAACTTCAGTAAAGGTATTTTTTTTTTAGACTTAAGCTGCGTAATCATTTACTTTGTCCAATCAGATACAGATATTCACTGTCCAATCAGAACTGATGGGGAAAATTAGTTTTCACTCCGACTTTTTGGTTAACTTAACATACATATCGCAATGAAAATTAAAAGTAAGATTTTTATACCATTGTTATACTTTAGTCACAGTGAAGCGACTCGAGACGTTAAAGTCCATATCGAAAATGTAAAAACGATTACTCTCCATCGGGGGGAGCTAACAAATGGACGAAGAAATACTCCAATTGATCAAATGCGTTGTGTCGGAGGTGACGCATGCCACCGTTATTCGCCAGGTCTGTATTTTATTATTGATCAACGCATTCTTAGAGCATGTTTATGGTTCTAAATTTTAATTATATAATTTTCGCGTTTTAGACGTAATACAATGCACCAACACAGGCTCCGATGGGTTAGGTTGGCGTTCAAAAATATTTTTATCATATATTTATTAGTATTAAATTTGACCTAAACTTATAGCTATCAATATTATTTCAAGATGTGAATTGGCGATGCAACGCTGAACTTCCAGATTACCTAAAATTTGGACCTGTATGCTATTTCATTTATACAGTGAACCTTTTTTAAATGTACCCCTTGGGATCAGATACTAGTGAATTTATTTGTGTTTTTAGAGAATGGGAATATATGGTACATTTAAAAGGAATGTGCTAGAGGGTACATTTAGAGAGGGTTCATTGTGGCCTTGCATAATTTTTTTAAAATCAAAGTGCAAAATTACAATATTTTTTATTTCAAAAATTTGCATAGTTGACGGTCAATTGTGAAGGTATGTAGGATGTAAATATGAATTAGATCCGTTCAGAATTTATCCGAATATTCTGATAATAAATTTTTTTAAACGGGCTCAAGTTCGGATTAATTTATTATAGAGTTGCCTGTCGTGATTGTTTTTAACAGGTTGTAATGGTTCTACCACAAAATCCCGAAAACCATTTTCCCGAAAGAGCATAATACCGACTAAATTGGCCAACATTATAACTAATGCCGGCTAACCTTGTCGGTATTAGGTTCTTTCGGGAATATGTCTTTCGGGATTTTGTGGTAAAACCGGTTGTAATATTGCAACCTATATGTCGTAATATCACAACCCATATGTCGTAATAGTTGGAATTAACGGCAGGCAACTCTAATTTATTAATGTCCAGATAATGGTCTGTTTGAATGAATGAATAGGTTGAACGGATCTAAAAGTTTATTATCGTTATAAATCAATAACATATTAATAAAATTTTCGCTATTTTGATCTATATAGGATATAATTATCCTGATGATCCATATATTTTACAAGGTATATTATCGAAGCTATCACTACCTAATTTTAAGGATGATATATTAATAATTAAATGTCTTAGGGTCATGTGGACTTGAGTATACACTTTATTACAAAGACATCTCGAAACAGGATCGAAGTTATCAATGGTTCCAAGAGAAAGAATACATTATATATGATCACTCGCATGATAGCATATACGACAAATTGCTCAATTTTAAAAGTATAATTGATTTTATTTGAGTATTTGACTGGCATCCACAGAATAGAGAGAGAGGGGTTTTTTAACACAATTTTTTCTTTGGTTTATCAGATTCTGAGCTATTTTCATCACTCTTTTCAATTGCCTGGATTAGTTTGGTGATATTTATTTTATACAAGATTTATAAAAGCAATTTAAGGTACATTTTTTAGTAAATCAATTTCTTTGGATTTCAATGGAATTAATAGCTTTTTTTTTTTTTTTTTTTTTTTTTTTAGAACATATAATAACCGATCTCAAAATTTTTGGCCGGGAGGTGGTGGAGGATTTTATCCAAGAGATGGTACATTTTTAATTATTATAATGTTTTTAGTTTTACTTTAATTTATAAATTTAATTTTAGCTGACCGTAAATTTATTTATAATAGATTCGTTCTATCAAAATTCATATTCAAGTCAAAATTTTTGGACAGGATTAGGAATGGGCTCACTTGCAGGATATTTCTTTGGTAGAAATTATAGTTCATCTCAACCCAGGTAATAATCAATTATTTAACTGTTAACAATCTTAATATTATCTCATAATACATTTTTAATTTCTATTTAAGAACATATTTTATGCAACCAACCAGATTTAGAACTACTTTCACATCATCTTCGTCTAGTAGTTCTAATATGACTAATTCTCAAGGTTTTGGTAGGACTAAAAGACGATAAAGAGATGATGAGCACTTGTAGATTTAATTATGAAATAATTACAATGAATAGTTTCTATCTAATCTTCGGAAAAACTAAAGGTAGATCATTGCAATACATCAAAACAATCATTTCTTACGCACATTTATAATGAACGGCAAATACATTATTATTTAAATTCCATGCATGAAATAACCCTTTTATTTGTAAATCATCTCAACTTATCCATATAATTATTTTTCGATTTGTATAAACTATTAAAATATTTTGTTAATTTCCATATTTCTAATCAAGGATCACCAGAAGAGTCCTAAATTTAACATCTAAGTATTTATCAATGAGCACTAAAGTGATGTCCAAAACACCTTTTTATTATTTGGTTTGATAATTTTTTGGAGTTTAAGAAATTATTAGAACCTTCAAAATTTCACCATGAATGTGATTAAAATTCTGCAGACATAAGGTCTAACAGAAGAGAATAATGAACCCTAAATTCTCTTACAAAATTTGTTTTTCTAAAAGATTTAATAAGTGAAATTTGAACTAGTTTCATTTAGAAAAATTAACGAACTTTTTCAAAAAAAAAGGTTTTTCTAACATATCTCAGCATCATGACCTTAACAAAACTAAATATTATTAAGAATGGATGTTATTTATTGCATTAAAATGAACTCACAATAAACAAATTAAAAGATATTACCTTCCAATGATTGTTACAAACTGTACAAGTAACAAAGGTCGTCATAGGTTCATCAGCGCTTCTAGTCTGATATGTAGATTCGATTATAGGTAAATTCAATTCGTGCAAATATGTATCGATTTAAAAATAACCACATTTACCTGCATCTGGTAATAAGTGCATTTACGATTACGACACTTTCCGCAAAGAAACATATCAGTCTCGGCTTGTGCTGGTCCAGCACCACGTGCCTTAAAAAGATTTTCTTGTCGAATCTCATTGTCTCTGGCTTTTTTCTCCTCTGATGCCATGTCCTTTTATGTCACATAAAATATATAACAGTTGTTATAAAGGAAAGTGGCTTAAGCCTTAATCTTCGATCGTGTATAACTTACTTCCTTGGACATCGTGCAAAAGTTTTGGACTTGCAACTCGCCATCGACAACACGTTTCCTAAGACCTGGATTCTTTTTATCTCTAAGATTTGAAATCAATCCACGTAATTTATCACGATATTTGTCAACTACTTGTCTTCCAAATTGATCAAATACCGTTTTTTCAACAGTGATGGCACGCAAAAGAATAAGATCAGAATCTAAGATGTTCAAATAAATATTTAATGCTCAATCTTTCTTCATTTAACGGATATTCGGTTAGTATAATCATAAATGGATAAAGTTTACCGGCACATGAATCAAATGCCATTGAATCATATAGCATCTTTACGCATTTATCTCGTGCAGAATTATTTGTGCTTTTATAAGCAGGGCGATCACGATCAAAATTGCGTTCTTGTTTTTCGGAGCTAATTGATGTTGGTGTGTCAGATGATGATGAGATTACAGAATCTTGTGTGTTTTCTCTTTTGGGTGGTCTAGGTTTTCCATTAACCTTCGGACTTGGTTTGGATGTAACACTTTTTGCTGTTTCAGCTTTACTCTCTGGGACAGTCGACTTTGTAAAGCCATTTGGTATGTCATTAGGTTTTATTGTATTAACTGCGTCTTTCCATTTCTTTACAATTTCTTTTGCAAGTTTGGCTACTTCGGGATTTGGATGTGTACGTTGCCTTCCAATAATAAGACCAATTTCTGTTCTCTAGAAAATAAAGGTCACAAAATTTAAAAAAAAATCCCTTTTAACAATAAAAAAACAAGTGTTCTTACCTTTAAAACTTCTTTTGAAGGGACTTTATCCTTGAGTTTATTCATTAATTCAAGGACACTCTTTATTCGAGATTTTGTTTATAAGAATGGTCAGTTATCAAGCCACATAACAATTGCGTTGTTAACTAAAAATGAAACTTACAACGATCTTCCCGCTTTCTAGCGCTTTCGTCAACGACTTCTTTAGTTGTATAATTTCGTCTGCGTTCATGATCTATAATCGATTATATTAAATTTTAGATGTTGCAACTATAAGTTCGTAAATTAGCTAGTTATAGATTCTCCTATCGCAATATCTTGATTATAAATAGCAATAATGTGTAATGTGATATGCACAACCATGCATATAGATTATTTTGACTTGTGAAATATTATATTTCAAATTTTAACCAACTCTCTTTTCAACTCTGAGAAATCGTTACAAAAATGGGTAAAGGTACTGATAAAATGTAAGGAAATAATTTTTTTTGTTTTTCGATGTTAGCTTCTTAGTATAACACTTTTTACTCATTCTATTCTTAAATGAATGAAGGTACATCACTCATTCTGGTAAGGGATCAACTAACAAATTCTGTTCTTTGAAGGTGTTCTGAATCAAATCTAAATATATATATATTTATATATTATTTTAGAGTGGTCTGGTGAATTCGGTGGAATGCAGTTTGGTGGTATTCAAGCTAGGAAAAAAACCCAAATTTTTAAAAGATTACCATTTAATTATTGCTCATTATCTTTACAACCATTCGAACATCCTGCATGTTCACCTGATGGAACAATTTTTGATTTAAAGTATTATCTAAATTTTTATATATATATCAAATAAATATACAATATCAATTTTCGAAGTCTGACAGTTTTTTTCAACGGTTCATTTCATATTTAGAAATATATATCCTTATTTAAAGAAATATAATGTAAATCCTGTTACAGGTGAAAAATTGGAGCCTAAATCTTTGATCAAACTTAATTTTCATAAGAATGCAAATGGTATATATTATTTCTATATAAATTATACTACATAAGTTATGATTATCATTACAGTCAATTCTCTATAAATGCAACATTGACGGATGTTAAAAAAAAAAAAAAGACAAAAATCTGCATTTAGAGTGATTAAAATACATAGAATTCTTATGTAATGATAGTCTACATTTAGAGAGAATTTTAATAAGACTTCTTAGAATGAGTTGACTGTATAATGACTTGATCATTGTTCTAATTTATTGAGATTACATATTTACCATTTACAGATGAATATCATTGTCCTGCGACACTTAGAGTTTTCAATGATCATACACATATTGTTGCTGTTAAACCTACTGGCAATGTTTACGCATATGAGGCTATTGAACGACTGAATATAAAAGCCAAAAATTGGAAGGATTTATTAACTGACGAACCTTTCACGAGAAAAGACATAATAACTATACAGGTATTTTTTTACTATTTTCCACTAAAAATTATACAATGTTTTTACTACTAGACAATAAATTAAAATTTTATACATATAGGATCCTCATAATCTTGAAAATCGTAATTTATCGAACTTTTATTACGTGAAGAATGACTTAAAAGTAGATGAAGGTTTATCTTTTTTAAAATTCTATATATACGTATTGAATATATTCTTTTATTCGCTGTTCTTACTTTTTTATTATTTTAGATCAGAATACAAATAGCCCATTGAATGACATTAATATCAGCGCTATGGGTTCTGCAGCAAGTGTGCTGAATAAGCTCTCGGGTCGTGTATGTGCTATTTATTTTTCAATATAACTTTTTTTTTTCGAATTTAAACCATATATCGTACTTTTTATAGCAAGATGAAGTATTGGATAAAAAGCAAAGTACTAGTACTGAATCTAAACCCGAAATAATAACGAAAGCATCATCATCATCATCTGTTGGAAAAGTTAAACCTAAAAAAGTGCCATATAATGCTGCGCCATATACTCGTGGTCTTGCGGCTGCCTCATTTACATCCACTGCAATGACGCCGGTAACTGTAAATGAAAATGCACTTATTGACGAAGAAGAATTTATGTTCAAAGAAATTAAAGCAAAAGGTTATGCTAGTGTAATAACTAATCTTGGCAGCCTGAATATAGAACTTTTTTGTGATAAGGTATTTATTATTCTCATAAATAACAATATTATTGTTTTCGTTTGATTTTGAAAATTAATATTTATTTAATCAGTCACCACGGGCTTGCTTTAATTTCATAATGCTTTCCAAACAAGGATATTATAACAAGTTTGTATATACAATCATAAATAGCATAATTTTTTCACATTTAAAGTCACTTTCAAGTTTATTGACTTTCTACAAAAATAAATTATCATAGGACTATATTTCATCGCAAGATCAAAAATTTTATGGTAAATGCATATATATATGAAGTTTATGATCAATATTGCAATTGTTATTAAAAAAAAATTTTTTTTTAATAGATTCAAGGCGGTGATCCTACCGGCACTGGCAAAGGAGGAGAATCATATTGGAAAAAAGACTTTGTAGACGAATTCAAAAGCAATTTGTCACATAATGAACGAGGTCTTTTAAGTATGGCAAATAAAGGAAAGAACACTAATTCATCCCAATTGTATATATTGTTATTTTATTTAACATTGAGATTTTTTTTTTAATGAATTTAATTACACATTGTTTATGATAGTATTAACCGATTTAACATTTATTTTATAGTTTTTTTACTTTTCGACCTTGTATACATTTAGACAATAAACATACAATTTTTGGGAAATTAGTTGGAGGAAAAGATGTTTTAGATAAAATGGAATCTGTACCTACAGATGATTCAGATCGGCCACTAAACGAAATTAAGATTACTAGTGTAAATGTATTTGTGGATCCATTTGAAGACTACAAAAAACAACTTCAAAAAAAATTGGATCGACAATCATCAGAAAAACAAGAAAAAAAACCACAAAAAATTCAAAAGGTTTTACTTATTAAATAATTTATCTGAATATTTATATATTGTGTTAACTCTTTTTTTTTTTTTTTTTTTTGTTTTAAGGGACTCGCCAACTATTTGGTTGGGTAACAATTTAACATCTTCTTTTGTTTTAGGTAAAGGAGATATGGGTATTGGTGGAAAAAATTTAA